AGATGAAGAAGTAGCGATTTTTGTCGCATTTTGATCATATAATGAATATTTTTGCGGATGATCTTTTCTAAAGAAAAATCGGACACTTACTGTTGACACGAGAACATTCAAGTTCGATTATCTAACATACAACTTGATGAATATGGTACAACAGCTACAATACAACAATCACGTAATCATGCAATAACACCAAGCGTTCAACAATCGAATTCATTCGCAAGAGATCGAACAAATCCGTCACCATCATTTAGAACGTGCTAATTGTGTTTTAAGTGTTGCTTTAAGAAAATGGCTTGATAGAAATCATTCAACTCATTGGTCAGATGGTCTTCTCCCAGTTGTTTACGGTATAAATACTAGGGTTTCATCAACAACAAAAACGACACCTTATGAAACAATGTTTGGGCAACAACCACGCTCAAATTCTGATTTTTGGAAAATAGTTAAAGAAAATCGTATAGAAGATGAAGATCAGTTACCAGCTCCAGTGGAAAGTGAAAATATGCTTGAACCGTCTATCATAATTGAAACTCAATCAGATGATTTTGATAATGATATACGAGAACATAATTTAAACGTTAGTAATTTGATTTCTGCAATGTTTCCACTTCTAGATATTAATGATAGTGCAAATGCATCCCATGTACTTTCTGGTTCTCTGCTTGATCTATCTTCGTCTTTCTGTGTTAATTATCATCAACCTCAATCAACTACAACAAATTCAACAACACCAGATCTTGTTGCTTTTGATTCTCCTTCACTACCATCTCGAACGCTAACAACTTTTCCTCAATCAAGTGGTCTAGCAAGTAACGTACTTAGTTTAAATGGTAACACTTCTACAATTCTACAAGGTCAAACAAGTTTTATTAATTCATTTGAACCTACGAATATTTTTGATGAATTTCTGGCGTGTTCATCTCAACATACCAATTTAGTTTCGATTTCAGCTTCGCATTCACAATCCTCCCTTCAACCTTAACAGCATCTTATTTGGCAACATCATCGTCACTACCACCGCGACATGCAGATGTAAGACATAAAGCGACAGATAATTATTTAGAAACAGCTAATAAAAAAAGAAAACTATATGATGAACACCTATCTAGATTAGCTGAACAATATAAGAAAAGAGATTGTGTCGGTGTTAAAATTCATGATGTTGAT